CTTTGGTTTCGACAAATTTCAAATATTTTCTCTGAAACCAACCTGTTGATCTTATGGGTCAGCATCCCTTGTCCGAGCTCCCTGCAGAAGCATGTGCGCTTATACTGTTTTAGCAGCAAGATTGTCATCTTTACTTGACCGTTGGACACGAATTATACGTGACTTGTGTGCTCCAGGCAAGTGCCTAACTTGGTGCATCCGTTTTCTGTTTTCTATCATATTGGGTCGCTGAGTGAACTAGGGGAAATCAGTTTTACATGTAAATAGGATCCTCAAGAGACTATCGTTTAGAAAGATAAGTATATACCTGTCAAAAACAATTTTATGGAATCTAAACATTAACTTAGGAAACTTAAGGGACTGTTGTGGTACTTTTCAGAGGACTGAACATTGCTGAGATAAATGTTTCGGGAACCAGCGAAACCGGATGTAAAAGATCAGCAAAGTAGGCCTCCAGTCCCCAGCTGGGAGTATGGGATCTTAGCCTCAATGTACATAGTCCTACGGTTCAACACTGATTTTCAATATCATGCTTTCGTTCGCTGACATTTGGGAAGTTTGGTTGGCAGTATTTATATGGAGTTTCGTAATAAAACTAAAATCAATTTTCACGAGTATTTTACCCCAAATCCAAATGTAAATTAATAACTAATGTTCAACACGAGAACTGCTTATGTAATTTCCTCGACTATTTCAGCACCTCTTGCCTAGCTTAAAAACGAAGATGTTTACTAGAAAAGGATACTATTCTAAGGATCATATACAACTTCAGTAAAAAGTACTTCATTCAAACAATCATCAGTTTCTTTAACTTTGACAACGTTTAATTACAGTCATGGGAGGCAACACACCCATGGCATCCAAAAGGTTACCCGACATCTTTACTTAAAGCCGGAACTGCCTATGGTGTTTCATACTGAAAGTCGCGTTTCCTGAGGCATTGGCATTTTGACGGTTGGTTGATAAGAAAGTTTTTGTTGTTTTCGTGTTCGGGCTGGTTGCACCACATTGCACAGCATGCCACTAACCGACCTGAACAACAGTAGAAAGCGGATGATTTAGTGCATTTTGTTTTGTCTGATACTGTGTTATGCGCCAGTGGCTTCCGGCGTCGTCTCGTGGGTCGCAACTACGCCCGATACACACTGATGATTTAGGCAGATAACATTGCCGGCAAAGACAAGGAGGTTGTTATTGCCATTTCTGACTTATTAGCCGTCGTCAGCCAGTCATACCCAACCTCAAGTCATGCACCATCCGAAGCTCTAATTCGCGACCTTTTTGATCAGAAGTCCACCGCTCTAAATATTCAGTCACGGACCCGTTGTCTTGCCGGTTTAGATCGAAATATGAACACTCGTCGATGAATGCTCACTGATGGCTAACAGAACTCACTTCGCTCTG